CTTTCCTTGAACTTATCCTTGTTTGCACGGGATTTCAGTTATCTTGTGGTTCCAGTTTCTGGCTGTCTGTTTAGTTAGTTTACAGACTTTGTTTGCTTCTGAAACAGAGATGTAACCTTCTGGTTGCTTCATATATATATATATCTTCTTTCAGATCTCCATATAGAAAAGCTTTTTTTACATCAAAGTGATTTACATGCATCTTCTTTTGAGCTGCTATTGCCAAGATAGTCCTTATTGTGGTATACTTTATGACTGGTGCAAATGTTTTGTCGTAGTCATGCCCAAATTTTTGGCAATGTCCTTTAGCTACTTAACGATCTTTATATCTGATAACATTTCCTGAAGCATCAGATTTCGTTTTAAATGTCTCTTTGTTTCTGATTGCTTTCTTTCCTTTTGGAAGATTGACTAGTTCCCATGTTTTGTTTCTCTTCAGTGCTTCCACAGATTTTAACCACAATTCCTTTTTTTTTTTTTTTTGTGTGTGTGTGTGTGTGTGTGTTTGTGTTTGTTTGTTTGGAAAAGTTTGTAGTTCTTGCCAGTCTTTAGGAACTTTGATTTCTTTATTCTTAGCCATGTATGAGAATCTGTTTGGTGGGATTCCTTTAGTTGTTCTCTGGGATCTTCTCAGTAATAGGGGAATTTCTTCTGTTTCAATTCCTTCCTCTGTTGTAGCATTTGGACATGGTTTTGTCAATTTATTTTCTTTAAAAGGCCATTCTATTTCCTCATGCTGGTCATTTAGTTGGCGAGGCATTTCTTCTTTTTTCTTTTCATCGAATATTACGCTTCTGATCACAACGTTGTTTGTATGTGGCATGTAAATTTTATAGCCTTTAGTATGGTCACTGTATCCAACAAGAATTGCTTTTTCTGCTCTTTCATCTAGTTTGCTTCTTTTCTGCTTTGGAACTAGACAATAGGCTGTGCTGCCGAAAACTCTGATATGTCTTAAGTTCGGTTTTTTATTATTCCAGAGCTTGTACGGTATTTTTTCAACTGATCTTGATGGTAGCCTGTTTTGTAGATAGGTGGCTGGCCTCACTCCAAAATTCTCTTTTGAGTCCTGAATCAGGTAGCAGGTATCTTGTCATTTCCATTAAGTATTGATGTTTTCTTTCTGCTCTACCATTCTGCTGCGGTGAATATGCTACGGAGGTTTGAAGTTCGATTCCCTCTTTCTTTTAGATATTCTTCAATCTCTTTGCTTGTATATTCTCCTGCATTGTCTGTTCTTAAGACTTTTGGCTTCTTTCCAAATTTGTTCTTCGTCATGTTACAGATTGTTTTAATTTGGAGATAGCTTCATCTTTTGTAGCTAATAGATTGTTGTGTATCTGGATTGTCGATGAATGTTATGAAGTATTTCTTTCCTCCTAGTGATCTTGTACCAATTGGTCCACAAATATTTGAATGTATCAAGTCTAGAACTGATTTTGCTCAATAGTTGTTTAGCTTGGGATACAGCAGTTCAGTTATTTTGTTTCTGATACAGTATTCGCATTCTTTTTCCTTTTTGGCTTCTCCGTCAATCCTTATTTCGATTGCCAAGTCATCATTCTTTAGCCTCTTGATTGCTTCGTAATTTCTGTGACCTAGTCTTCTATGCCAAAGATCTATACTATTTTCACTTCTTTCTGCAGCTGCAATTTTGGCTTTTCCTCTTTGAGATTCAATTATGGTATATAAATTTCCTTCTGTTTTAGCAATTCCTATGGTTTTATTTTTCTTTTTTATTCTGCAAATATCTTCTTCAAATTCAACTATAAATCCTTTCTTTGTAATTTTTCATATGGATATCAATCCTCCTTCTAGGTCAGGAACGTACAGAACATCTACGAGTCATACTTTTATTTCGTTGTCTTCGTTGTCTGTACAGTATAAGTATCCTTCTCCGATACCTTCATACTTCATCTGAGTGCCGTTAGCAATTGTTATTTGCTCAGTTTTGCTTCTATCCAATTTAGTGAAAAAGTTTGTTATCGGTCATATGACAAGTAACTCCTGGGTCAACTGACCAGTTTGAGTGACTTCTAAGGTATAATTCTCAGTCTTCTCAAGATTCTTATTTTCGTTTTCATCTTCATGTTTATCCTCATTTACAGCAACTTTTGTTTTCTGTTTATTTCCATAATTTCCTTTATTCATTTGCTTTTCCATTCTTGAAAAATAAGTTACTTTCGTTTTTATCTTTTTTTTGGGGGGGGGGTTATTTAAGAATCTGCATTCTTTTCCAAGTGTCCTAGTGACCTAATCATTTGCAATAATTGCATTTTCATTGATTGAAATGCTTGAATTTTGTGTTAAAATTCGTTTCGAAGGCAGTTGTTTCTTCTGTTCGCGTGCCTTCTTTTCTTCTCATGCATTCATCGATGAGTTTCGTTTTTACGTATTCCAACATTAGTTCTTCTTCTGGGCATGCTTCTAAAGCTGTAATAATATTTTCGTAGCTTTTCGGTAAGCCACTTAGTAAGAGCGCTGCAATGTGACTGTCCTTTATTTCTTCACCGATTTCTCGCAGTTCATGTATGATTTCGGTGTTCTTCGAGTTTGTATTCATTTTCTGCTTTTAACATATACAGCTTTCTGAGAAGGTAAAGTTTACTGGAAAGATTCTTTCTTTCATGAATTTTCTTTAATTCATTCCATATTTCTTTGGCTGTCTTTTTATTTCTTATGTGTACGATTTGGTTGTCTTCTACGAATAAACTAATGGTAGCTTGTGCTTGTTCATCTCGTTTTGTCCATTCAGCGTTTATTTCTTTTGGTGTATCATCTGCTATTAAATCCCATAAATTTTCCTTTTTCAGGATCATTTCAAGTTTGTATTTCCATACTTGATAGTTGTTATTGTTTAGTTTCATGATTGAATATTTATTTTTGAAGCTAGTAGCTTCAGTTTTTATTTTGCACAGTACACAACTATGCAGTTTTGTTTCCCTTTTGAAGAGACAGGCTTGGCTTTTCCTTTTTCGGATTATCCAGCGATAATTTATGGCAAAGTATCTTTTCTGTTTTGCATTTTTTATCCTTCATAGCTTATCTCGATATATTTTCTGCATTTAGTTGAAGTAAACATATGCTCGGTCTTGTAATCTATTGTTGAAGGTGTGCAGGGTTCATTTTGTGTACTATTACAACTTTGCTAAATCGAGATGAGCAGATGAATAAAACAGAATTAAAGTTCTTACCTTAATAAAATGTAATCCAAGCTGCGGATGTAAGGAATATGATCATTATATTAGCAAACACAAAATAACATATTTATTAGGTATTAGAAGAAAAAATCTAGCAATGATTACAAGCGTAGTTTACTGTTCATAGCATAAGATGAGAATGAGTCATACAAGGAGAGAATCTTTCTCCTTCTTTTTGGATCAAGTCCAATTACAGTTAACGGGGGTGAGAGGGAAAGTAGCGTCGGAGTGTACAGCTTCATCGCTGTCGTAATGAATTGCTCTACACTTTCATCATTTGCACTTCTACAGCTGAAGAAGGAGTGTCTGTTTAACCCTTCAAAACTAGTCCTGCAAATTTATGAATATTGTGCTGATACATATTGCTTTAATGCCTCCACTAATTGTTATTTTTAACTCGTATTCTATAGTTCTAGCTTATTCATATACTTAGACAACTACTTTGTTTCTGTTTTGTCAGTTTGAATGTACAAATAATTGATCTTTTAAAATTGTCAAAAATCTAGTTTTTGTAAATTCTTGAAGAAAATTGGGAAGAAAGTTTCATATTTAATGAATTATGTTAAATGATAAATGAGGGGGAATTCTAACTGTTCACACTGAAATTTTCATTTATGTGTAGGCTTTATATTTTAAGACTTATTATGCATTTAATGCTAATCATTTTGAAAATATTAATTCATCAATTCTGTTTATAGAATTCAATGAATTTTTTTTAGCATACAAGGTAATGTGTGAATATAAATTTTTTAATTTCCAGTGAACCTTTACTGTCTTATAATGCCATTCTGCAGTTCTGCGAAATTTATTCATGCCTTAGATACTTATTTTTACCATAAATAAATAGTTTGTGAGTAAATTTATGCTGAATGCATTTTAATGAAAAACGAGCAACTTTTCACAAGAGCTGTACTGCTCTTTTCCTGTGCTATACCAGTGCATTTCTTTTCCCACACTTTTGGCTGGGTGCTAATTTCTTCCCCCCCCCCATATTTTTTTGTGCTATTTTTCTCCATGTTTTATCAACTTTCTTATTTTTCTATTCATAATTTTTTCCCTTGATTTCTGTTACCGTATTTGACGGCATATAAGACGCACTTTTTTTCCTAAATTTGGTCTCAAAAAAGTTACCTGCGTCTTATATGTGAAGGTAATTAATTGCATTCAATAATTATTTATTTGGCTTTTACGAAACGCAAGAACTAAAAGAAACCATGCTATTGAAACTTTTTTCGTTGTGTGTGACCGTCTAAAATCATTAATGCCACTACAGGCAATAAATAATTAGAATAAAAAAAAGAAACATAATTGCATTAGCAATGGCAATAAAAGCTTATTGCTTTTATTGGAAGCCAGGAAAGATGTAAAACAATTTAGTGACACCTGGCACCAAGAAAGTATGCCAGAGCAAAACAAGTGTCAAGTAGTATGGCTTTTATAGAAAGTGATCCTAGTGATATATTTTTTAATATTCAGAGGATACTAAAAAATATATCAATAATTCTTTAATTACAAATGCAGGTTTTTTTGTAACTAAATGCAAATTTACCTAGTGATATGTTTTTTAGTTGCAATCCTCCTCTCTTACAAATGCAGATTTATTTACATTAGATTAATTCATGTTTTTATATATTTGTTATACTTAATTATAAATTACTTACAGAATTTTATGTCAAGTCTCTGAATTTCGCCCTTTTTATATGTTTAGAAATATAGGTTATGGTTTTTAAGTGTTATGTAATGTTTTTAGTGATTCATATTAAAATATTCTAGATTTATACTTTTAATTATGTATTTCAGCAGCCTTACAGATAGGTTTGCCTCATTTACCTCTGGCTAACGAAAATAAAAGTATAGGTGAATAACATTTTTCATTATATTGATCAAATGAGCAAGTTTTAAATTTTGACTATTTTGTATATATTATAGAAAAATATTTTTTTTTAGTCATTTGTATTGCATATTCATATGATGTTTTAAATTAGGAAATAAATTTAAAGCAAAATTCTTCATTAGGCATTGATAAACGTAATTGCTGTATTTTTAGCGTGCATAGTAAAAATTAAAAGTAAATAGATTCAAAGATTAAATATAGAAATAGTAGGAAGTATAATGTGAAGGAAGTAAATTACTTCTCAGCTTTTGTGAAATTTTAAATTTTTGCCAAAATATATATGATTAAAATTAAAATAAAATTTGGGAAATGTAAATAGTATGCAAAATAAGATTCAAAGTGTAATAGAAGGTTTGCATATTTAAATTAGCATGGTAAGAATTTAGTATTAAAACTTGCGTAACTACCATTTGAAAGGTAATATTTTCTTGCCATTTATATTAAGTAGCAATAAAAGGAGAAAAATGACTTCTCTTAATACACATTTTTATTTAAATACTTTGGTATGAAGAGTATTATAGTTAGAAAAAAGTCAAAAAATAATAATTTGTGTGAAATAAGTTTTTACTGAATAGTAGAAGAAATGTTTAAGGTAATATAAAATTAAATTTTTGATTAAATGTTAAATTTGAATGTATCTCTGCTTTTTTGAAAGAGTAATTTAACTATCTTCTTCAATATCCCAGCAGCTTTTAAAATGCAACATTTAAATTTTATTGAAAATTGACATGGTTTGGAATTTCCTGTATGAATTATAAATATTTTCTCAATTAAATTTAAGAATACAATTCAACTTCGTAAAGTAATTTTCACAAATGCTTTATAAAAGTGTGCTCTGTGGAATAATCAATTCATTAGTAAAAGTATCAAATAATTATTTTCTTAAGATCCATGTAATGAAAATTATGTTAAAATGTATTTTGAATGTATATACAGTACACTCCCGATTATCCGCGGAATTGGGTGGCGCGGCCGCCGCAGATAACAAAAAACGCGGATAATCTGAAAAAGCTAAAAATGGGTATAGCAAAAGAGAAAACAGTCATTCCAACTTTGAAAAGTCGTTTTATGTACAATAAAATGTGAAATAACCAGCAGAAAATGTTTAACTAAATATTTTAGCATATTACTCAAAAGTAACCTAAAATGCATTTTGTTAATGAAAACAGAAAAGTGCTTTGTATACTTGCGAAAGGTGTCAAGGATACACAAAAAAATTAATACATATGTACTGTTTTAATAATGTAATGTATAATGTAATTACAAAAGAATAACTGTAAAACTACACCTTTTTGAAGAAGTCAGTCATTTGTGTTTGCTTCTTGCTTTGGAAGCATTTTCTCTTGATCCGAGATTGCATTTTTCGTAGCATAAGTTTCTCGGCCAACTCCGCGTCGTTTTGTTCTACTAAATAGCTCAGCAGTCCGTTGTCTTTGAAAGCCGCTTTGTGAGTCTTCCACATCTGCACAGTGGGCTCTTCTTCGCCTACACTTCACTCTCCTTCATTCTCGGTCTCTCCCCTTGCTTTCTTCACAATTTCGTCATCTGTCAAAAAAGCCAGGTTCGTTGACGTCACACTCCAACCACTCGTTAATGTTTTCAGCATCGACATTCTCACCACCCGGAACTGTTTTCACCATATCGGCAAGAGTTGCCGTAAGTGTGTCTACATCTTCATTCTCTTCTTCACAACTCAAAGGGGTTAGGTTGTTGTTGGCTTCAACATTAGGCATGAGTTTTCTCCATGATTTTATAAGGGTTGACGATTTCACCGAGTCCCATGCAGATGCAATATCGTAGATGCTGTCCAAGATTGTGTAGGATTTCCAAAACTCTTTCAGATCATAACCTTCTTCAATTTTGGTCATTAGCCAGCTTGGTTCAGTATGTTCTCTTCATTGTTGCAATGACTCCTCGGTCCATGGGTTGGATTAGAGCAGTAACGTTTGGGGGGAGAAACTTTGCAAAAATTTGTCCATCAGAAGACTTTAGCACGCTTATTGCTGGCTGAGATGGTGCGTTGTCGATCAGTAGCACAGCTTTTTCAGGCAGGTTTTTCGATTTAAGATGTTTACGCACTTGAAGAGCAAAGATTTTTTTCGGACCGTTCTTGAAAAATGTTTCAATTCATCCATCCTTTTTTTGGGGGGAGGGGTTAAGTAATCAACGGGCAAATTTTCTATCTTGTGCCTTTGAAAGATCTCGTTTTTTTTTTTTTTTTACTTTCCAATGACAAGTCTAGGTCTATGTCCACCGGTAGCGTTACTGCAAGACATGATAGTGATCCTTCACCTGCTGCTTTTGTGACCTGCCGCTTTACTTTCATTTTCAAATACTAAAGTGCAAGTGGGAAGACATTTCCACTAAAGTCTTGATTCGTCGGCGTTGTACATTTGTTCAAAAGATAGAACTCTTCTTTTAAAACAAATTCTTCAAATCCATGGTGGAAATCATCGGCTGCTTGTGGGTCACCACTAAGTTTCTCCCCATGAAGTCCAATTTCTCGAATTCCATGTCGCTGCTTAAAACGAGTCAACCAGCCAGAAGACGCATCAAAATTTCCTTTCAGGCCTAACAACTCAAAAAAGGTTTTTGCCTTTGCCGCAGTGATAGGACCATTTACGGGAGTATCCTCTTTTCGAACTTCAGCTAACCACTCTGTCAGTATCGTGTCTAGCTCATCAAAGGTAGAACTCTTCATAGTTTTTCGGGTTTTCATTGCTGAAGCACTGTCCGACATTGATGCACAGTTCACCAGTTTGTCTTTTTGCTTTAGAATCTCACGCATTGTTGTTTCCACGATTCCGTAATCCAATTCCATCTGCTGCCTTGTAGCGCCGTTTGCTACGTTGGGAAATTAATTATAGTTTTTGCGCAATCGTCAGCACAACCTTCTTTCGTTTTCCTGACATTTTAAATCGGTAACGAAAAAACAAAACCAAAAAGCACAAGCACTGAACATAATAATTAACTCCGACCGGTTCGCAAACACTATCAGGGTTAAACTAACAATGGCGAGTGGGAGGAAGTGGACGTGTCAGTAAGATTAAGACGAGAGGGGGTGGAACTTGCACTGCAAAGGTGAGTAAGAAATCACTTACTCATCAAAGGGGAAGGTTCCGAGAAGGCTTGGGATATTTTTGCTATATAATATGATATACAAAAATAAGCACGATGTTAGCAAATGTAACTTTTTGCTCAATTTCGTGAACATTTTTTTTTTTTTTCTTTGCTTTATGCTTGTTTAAAAAAAAAAAAAAAACTTTGTGAGGCAGGCGCTGATAATCCACCCCATAGATTATCCGTCCACGGATAATCAGGAGTCTACTGTATTTAGAACTTAATAAAATTCCTGATTCCCCTCCATTTTTTATCTGAATTTTTTGTGTTACAGTACAATAATTAAGTGATCTTGCAGAAATTATCGCCTTAATTATAGTAATAATCTGCAAGCTTATTGTAAAATCAATATTAAGTCTTTCCAAAGAATAAATTTCCTCAAAATTACAAATTACTTTTCTATATTTTATTAAAATATTTTATCAGTAAATTGCCAGATGTAAAACAATTATACCAATTTATAATATTCTTATAATTGAATACTTAATGTCTGTTTTATAATGCATTTAATGCAAGTTTTGATACACATCATATTTATTCAAATATTTTCACTTGTTAAATTTTTATAATGGTTATGAATTTTAAAATTTTGTAATAAGTAATATTTTATTAAATAGAGAAGTATTGTAAATTACTAGATTTGTTTAAATTGCCAATTTTTAATATAAAAAAATTATAATTAATTCTTTTTTGTGTATTCGCCTTTTTATAAACTGTTATCGGCAGCATTAATTCTTTAACCAAGGAATATAGTATGCAAAAATGAGATAGTTTATTAACATTTATCCCATCCACTGCCATCTTGAAATGATTACCAAAATTTGCTCTAAATTTTCAAAACTAGTTTTTGTCAGTATTTATATATAGTTCACAGAATTCAACCCCGCACTGGCAAGGTTGACTCAGCCTTTTATACCTTTATTGGGTCAACAGAATGAGTGTCAAGTTCACTTGGGGACTAAACACTGGGGAGGGGGGATTTACAACAAGCTGACCACTTGTCCAGGGCATATGCTCATGCACCCTGGGGCCCATGGTCAGGAAAGCAGATATCGGGGATCTGCAAGCCATGGACTGCTAGGGCTGTTGCACCTATGTGTTTAGTTTAGATAACAGAATTCAGGATGTTAATTATTGTTATTTAGCTAATGATATACAAAAATTTTTCTGCAGCTGTAATCTACAGAAAATTTTGATAAATTAAAATGAATTTTTTCTCTCCCAAAGTGAAAATTGAAATTCTTGATAAGTCAGATTTCACTGGACTTCTTTTAATTGTGCAAAATTGTATTAAAAAAATTGTAAGTTTAACCCTTTCTGGCGTACTACCTTTTAAAGTTGGAATTGGAATTTCGACAAAAAAAAGGGGGGGCCAGGTAGGCCGTCGGATCAGTCCTGGAAGAGTACACAGGTAAAATTTTGTAAAGATAGCACTTGTCATTTTAATTCTGTGGGTATGCCCGAAGCAGGCACACTGAATGAATAGAACTTTGAAAAGGGTGCTGAAATGAGCATTGCTGGGAAGCGTGTACAAGAGTAAGAGATTTTGCCTACGGTTAAAAAACACTAGATTCTGAATACCGTAGCAGATTTAGCATTACCCAGGTGTGCTGCAGGAAGGCATGCTACTCTACAACACCGTAAAAAAGCTCTGCTTGGTTATAACGGTGATTACATGCATATAAATGAAAAAAAAATATCTTGGGTATATGATAGTTACATTATTTATATTTCATGTTTACACTTCCGTCTATTTTCTTCATGGTGCTACTTTTCGAAGAAAGTGACACCACATTTAAAAAAGCACAACCCAACATTGCATGTTTTACACATGTGCCAGGATCCGTAAAAGATTCACTATTAGAAGGGAATTCGTGTAGCAACTTCAGTGCTTCAAAAATGGTCAGCCCTCTCTGATCTATTTGGAAAATAATTAAAAATAAAAAAAAAATAATAATAATAAACGAATATTATATCTACAATTAGAAATTATAAACTATAAAATAAAATTAAATAAATGTCTCAGTTGACATTTGCAACCACAATTCACTTGGCACTGTAATTGTGCCTGTTTAAGAACATTTACATTTTTGGTATTGTTGCAATATGAAGAGAGCAGAAAAGCAACGTCTTGATGATAACGTGTAGAAGCAGATGTACACAGTCATCCCATATGGAAGCTTAACCAGAGAAAGTTTTGGTTATAAGTTTCGAATTGGATGTATCATCAGCATTATTAAGTTATATGTATGGATTGAGCTAGAAATGATGCAGTCGAGAGAAATTTGCTGCATTGCGGATGCTAAGAGGGGGCATATAAAAGTCTAAAGAAGAAATTTAAAGAGCTATTGCAAATTAAGTAATTTACTAGAGAATTATTTTCTTACTTTATATTTTATACACACACCACATATATATTTATATATATATGCTAGAAGACACTATGTTAAAAGGAACAAAAAATCCAGTAGTAAGGGCACTTTGGTATTTTAGTTAGGAAAAAAAACGCTTTTGGCAGTTTTGGAGCCAACAGTTAGGTAACCCAAGTTTAAGAAATTAAATAATCCTTTAAAATATTTGTGTATTGCACTATTTACTTAAATTTTTCCATGCCATATTTGCTTGAAAAAATATTACCACAAATGCACATGAAAACATTTTGTTATCATTCTTTATCATTTTTAAGTCAACCTCTTTTATCTAATGCACCATACACACACACACACCCAAAAAAAAAAAAAAGGTTTTTCTGTCATTTGATGAAGCATTTTTTCTAATGTAAATGTAAGATTGGAAGGAATTCATCTTTCTCAATCTTAAATTTTAACATTTTTCTTAATGTATCAAAATAATTTTCATTTTGCTTTGTACAGTATAGTTATCTATATATCTGAACAGAATATCATTGGTTTCTACAGTGCAGTTTGCCAAAACATTTGATAAACTGTCTTTTTTCAGTTTTGACAGCTGCATACTGCATTAAAAAAATATTTTAACATTTTCATTGTTGAATATTATTTTTTCAAGATACAGACACACATATATATACATATTAACGCTTACCTTTCAGAAGAAGCAGCAACCGATAATGGTCCACCTTGGGGAGATCCTTCCCACAAATCAAATCGCACCTTTGGAAATTGGTCTCCTGTTTCAAGTGGAAATAAAAAGATGCCTCCATCTGGGTGGGAAGAAACTGTACCTCCTCCCACTACTTGCCAATCAGGACCTAACTATGATGATGGTACTGCAGTATGGGGTAATCCTGTACACCAAGCTAAAGTGTCACATTGGAAAGAAATGCCACCTGCCAAACAAATGCCCGACTGTATTCTGCCGCCTGGTAATTTATGCCAGAGTGGCAATCCATGTGCTCCTCATGCTGGTCCTGGTATGATTAGGTTGCCCCAGGCTGGAGCAAACATGAATCAAAATGATAATTCGTGTTTAAAAAATCAGTCTCTCAATCGTCGCATGAGTTGGTCCGTTGTTACACCTCGTACTGATCCTTCAGGACGCAGATTTTGGGTACATCTGGATGCAAATGGACATCCAATTCAGGACAAAAGTGTTCCAGGAACTGCCAATACACCAAATAGTGCCTTTGGAAATTGGGGAGAACCAGTCAACCCTGTTGGAAATTTTTGGGGTGCAAAGTCTAAGAGTAATATTTGCAGCTGGGCTGATGGGCAAGTAGATACAAGTTCATGGGGTGGACCTATGAAACAGGTAAATATGTATTTAAATTTTTATTAATTCCACCACATAATTTTGGATATTGCTAATTATATACAAGTTGTTAAATATAATAGCAAAGTCTTACATTTTGATGCATGCACTGCATGCAAAACTTGAGGAAAATTAAGAATTTCTTATTTTAGCTGAAATAGTCTGGATATGGAGAAGTCATACAAAAGGATCTTAGCTGGGTACCTATTATCACAGCCACCTTGGTGCAGTCTGGCACATTTTATGGAAGAAAAAGAAACAATTGTAAAAAACTACATATTACATATATACGTGCATATGATTACATATACATTCTCTGCTTCAATTACAGTGGACCTGAAGATACGGGTTTAATTCATTCCAGCATTGAACTCGTATAGCGAGTTTCACGTATCTAGAAACAAACTTTCCCATTGAAAATAATGAAATCCACTTAATCCATTCCGCATCCCCAAAAATATCAACATAAAAATCATTTTTTCTAATAATTAACACTGGTAAATAATATAGCCCTTGTTTTCCTGTATGGTAGTTTCCAACACCAAACTTAACTGCTTCTCGTTAATTCACACCAACAACAGCTTCTAGGAGTTTTGGACGGTGCTTGGAAGTAACGGTAACTCTTTTGCCTACATCAAGTTTCTTAATTTCTACCTTCCACTTCAGAATACTGCAGATTGTCGATGTCGAAAGACCATAAGTCTTTGCCAATTCCGTCACTCTTACACCACGCTTATGTTTATGTATGATTTCTTTCTTAATTTCAACAGCCATGGTTTCCTTCTTTTTCTTTGCAAGCACTTTCTGAGGCACCACTCTTCTTGGAAGGCATCGTGAAATAATTATTTTCACGTTAAATGTAATAAACAATGCACAAACCTGTAGATCAAAGAACATTGAGTGATATGATGAGGGGATTTCCTGAGTCAACTAAATCGGGAAATCGTGCCAGGCATACCAACAGCCTGGCTCGTTACTCGAGTCAATGCTTATATTTAGAGAACAATTTTTCTCTCACATTTTCCTCTTATCTCGAATTTCTCATATATAGAGGTGCTTGTATCTCGAGTTACAACTGTATATATTTATTCCAAAAGACAATCAGTAAAACTAGGTACAAATGGGCTTTTATTTTATTTTATTTATTTTTTTTTTTTTGTGTCGAAGGTTTGTAGCAGTCGCTTTGAGAAAGAATTTGAAACATAGTTCCTTCAGCAATTTTGTCACAAAATAATGTATGCAGAAATTTCACCTCTCTTTCATCTGTTACAGGAAAATTTTATGAGTGCAAATTATAATAATATTAAGACCAAAAAATAATCAATTTTTCGATAAAAAACATTGGAATTTGGAATTCAACAAAAAGAACACATATGAAAATGGCAACATTAGAAACTTTATATTTGTCATGCGCATAGTTACTAGAGTTTGGTGTATTTTGAAGCTGTGGCTATTTCTACCAAGCTGGTTTGCAATAATACACAAGTACCTTTAGCTATATTGAAGTGATGAAACAGCACAATTATACAATGGGAACAAAACATACAAATTGGTTAGATATCTGTATGAATTACTATAAACATATATGTGAATTCAGGCATTAAACAGACATTGTTTTCAGTAGTAGCCTGATCATCTAGAACAATGATTCATGTTATATTTGACATGTTCAAAACCTGTCCATAAATTCTTACAGTAGTTTTCATCAGTGCCATTTTAATTCTTGGATATTTGATAAGAATGTTAATGTGCCGCAAGGTATCCTGTCATGTATATTTAGGTTGATTTAGAATGGTCATATGAACAAGTCAGTCACTTGTTCAAGCAATGTAGTTCATCTCAAATAGCAATAGTTTCAGCACAATAAGGTGCTACACTGCTAATTTTATTGTATTCGTGGAAATTTTTAATTAGAAAAGGGTGCTAACAGTTGAAATTGTTAAAAAAAATGTGCTAATAGTTAGAAAAAAGTCATTTTTGCAATTAGCTTTTTACACTGCTCAACATTAAAAAAGCAACTTCAAGAAGGAATGGTCAGAAAGTGATGAAATTTGGAAAAATAACAGAGAGAGCCAGCAGCAATAAGTGATCTTTATTTCAGATTGATAATCAGAATACAGAGCGAGAACAGCTTCGGCTCAGTAGGATGTAGGGCCACTGCAGACAGCGATGCACGAAGAAACACGTCTAGGCATAGAGTCAATAAGAGTGCGGATGGTGTGCTGAGGGATGGCTCTCCATTCCCTTTCAACATTTGCCACAGTTCGTCTTCTGGACGAGACAGTGGCGAGTCTGCAAATGGCATCCAATCACATCCCACACATGTTCGATTGGTGACAGGTCAGGAGAGTATGTTGGCCAGGGAAGCATCTGTATACCTTGCAGAGCATGTTGGCAGATGCGAGCACTGTGTGGTCGGGCATTATCCTGCTGAAAAATTGCATTAGGCAGCCCCTGAAGGTAGGGGATTGCCACCAGCCACAGTACATTATCCAAGTATTGTTGGGCCGTCATAGTGCCCTGAATATGAATTAGAGGTGACCTGGAATCGTAGGCAATAGCGCCCCAAACCATTATGCCACATTGTCATGCGGTGGGGCGTTCCACAGTTACTGCCGGATTAGATCTGTCTCCACATCGACGCCACACACAAGTATGCGGCGACTGTCACTGGATAAACAGAAGCATGATTCATCTGAGAACACGACTTTTTGCCATTCTGTCATCCACATTGCTCCAGTTCGGCACCATTCTAAACGTTGGCATCTATGCTGTGGGGTCAATGGCAGTCTTCTTAACAGATGCCGTGAGTGCAGGCCTCGTTCAACCAATCGACGGGAAATGGTTCTGGTCGACACGGGAATATCCAGGGTATCTTGCACATGCTGCAGAATAGCGGTACAAGTGACTTGCGGGACCGCCACACCTTGTTGGTGGATACATCGACTTATCTTTCATATGGACACAAATTTGCAACAATTTTAAAAAAAAAAAAAATCTTTCAGGCTTATTTCTTGGATAAAAATCCAAATGAGAACAAAGAACTTCTAATAGTTCTTCCGTTTCTGCAAATGATCAATATCAGTTTTAAAAATACATGTAATAAAATCGTACATTAGATATGTATTGTATATATAAATCACATGTATTTTGATATCTTGTGTATATTACAATTTAGCTGCATTTTTAGCACATGAAAGAGTAAGCTGAAATGTGTAGGGCTTAATAATTTGTAATAACTCATATTTTAGCAGCTGATAATTTTTAATTTTATTTCTTCTCATACATTTCAAAATAGTAATTTTGTAAAGGAAATTAGGAGGGCAGTTCTCAGTGCTGTATATAAAAATAAAAAAATACTAAAATCCTCATATCTCAATGAACATTTTTAAAGGGCAAGCTAGAAATTTAATAATAGATTCTATTATGTACAAAATGAAGCTTTTAATTGTTTAAAAAAAATAGCTGCCCTCTAAACTTGTTTTCAGATATCTTTAATTAAATCACTTAGTTATAGGAATAAACCTGTGTGGTGATTAGATGTAATAAATAGGCTCAGTGTAGCGTACGCTTGTTGTAAAAAGCAAATAAAATGGGTACCTAGGGTCTAAGGTTAAATAGCCGGGTACCCTGCTCCTGGGGATTTTATCGAGAGACTGGGCCTTCAAGTTTGAGATTGGGCATGAGGCTAACAACCTTGCTGTGTAAAAATCTTAATGTTACAAAATCAGAGGAAGAATTTTCTGGATTGTCTATGTGGAGGCGACTTGGAAGGGATTTTAGGAATGGCATTTGGAACTTGTGAGTTTGCATTTACTCTATCGGCGTTCGTAGCGGTCCTTACAAGTGCTTATAAGTCCTTATATTTGAAAATAAAATATAAATGCCCTTATAGGTGCTTACTTTTTCTTTAAAGCCCTTATTTTTTTGTTTTTAGAGCTTATTTTTTCCTTTTAGTGCTTTTTTTTTTTATTTTTTTTAATGAACGCGCTATTTTTCCCCGCACCAAAGCCGAAACTAAATAAACAACTTTTCTTCCTTATATGGAACGTCAGATGGTGAATCATACTCCCGGAAATAGCTTTTCCCCTTTTCTCTGCACTAACATTACCTATGTTGCGCTCCAGAGTACAGACAGGTGCACATCGTTCTATTGGTCAAAGAATTGCGAAAACCATAGAAAATTCCGGTACATTCGGTATTCTTTTCGTCCCACCCAAATACTACACACGTTTGGATTTCTATCAAAATTTTAAAAATTTGCATTCTCGTTCCACGTGGTCAGTTCATATTCGTGTTTATTATGATCATTATGCTTATATTATGAGCATATGTATGAATATTTATAATAATATAGTTGCAGTAGCTGCTGAACTGTAGATAAACTTCCAAAAATGGTTGTACTTTTACACAGATTAGCTTTCTAAGGAATAATATTCGGAATGGCTTAAATAAAAGGAAAGTAATTGAATAGTTAATTTTTTTTCCCTATACATTATACAGTACGGAGGTTGGGAGGTTCTCCTCTTTCTCCACAAAATCTCTAATATTGAAGCAGCAAACTTTTTTTTTTTTTTTTTTTTTTGTCATTGTCCAATCTGGATTCAATAGGACTAAAAGTTTTGCGGTCTACCTAACCCAAATGAAGAATGATTCTATTCTGGAAATTTAACGCCATCTTTTGAAAATTCGAATGGAAAACACCCCAGATTAGTAGGTCTCTTTTCCTGTATTTAGTTCTTTATTCTCCGAATACCGGACAGTTGTTGATTCCGATTGCGTAATATTACGTAGGGAAGAATTATGCCGCACGTATTTTGCAATAACGTTTGTGACGGTATTTTGCAGAAGATAATTAATTTTGATATTCAATCCGAAGATTTATTTATGAACACTTAAAAGAGTTTTACTGTGCTTTCTAAGCAGAATATTTCTCAGCTCCGTTGGTCTATTTTTATATGATGCACATATCGAAATGTCAAAATCATTTATTTAGCCGA